GGGGGGGAGGGATCCGCCATATTGGATCCAAGGTGGCGCCTTAGCGACCCCTTTAACCTACGACACCATATCTTCATCACTACATCTCCCCATAATAAACGAAAATAGCTATTTTTCCCCACCAAAAACGAAAGTGTATTTACATTATGGTATCTCTGAAACAACCCTTTACAAGACATGATGTCTCACAAAATAGATGGATACTTATACATGCAATATGCTTATATTCATATATAAATATCTAAACTTTCGGTTTCGTGGGGGAAAAATAGATTTTTTCGTTTATGCTTCCCAGGGATAATCCTGGAGGGGGCCATTGACCCCTCAAAGCTGAAACTGACCCCTCCGTCTTCCAATGTTCTTTTGATTTTACATAGAAGCCTGAGTTAAAAGCTGATATCGATCGATGGAAGTGACGTCACGTTCGACGACCATGGCGTCATCTAAAGCTTATCGTAAGATTTTGACAATATGCAGTCTATCCGACTTCCTCCGCCAACACCAATTAATACAACGGCAAGCAGACACGTACAGGAAGGAACGCCAAAACATATCAAACAACAAGGAGTGCATGAGGAAACAACATCGTCAAAGAATGCATAGACAACGACGTGCAACCGGCCTGTATTATTACAAACTACCCTGTAAGAATAAGTATATTTTAAAAATAGTGCATTTGCTTTTCTGTTTTTTTTCTTTGAATGTATTGATATTTTTTTTTCTATTTCTTTCAGTTCAAACAACACGACAACACTACTTATTGACCATGTTGAGCGAGGAAAACCAACACTTTTTTTATTTGAAAAAAGGCATTTGTGTTTTTTTAACACCTTAGCTTATTTAATCAGCACATTGTTAATAAAAGAATTATATTATATTATAAAAAACGCATGTTGTAACTATTTATTGTTTGTAAATATGTTTTATGCATAAGATTATCAAGGAAAATGAAAATATATGATTAAAAAGAGCAGAGAAAAAGCAGAAAAGAAAAGAAAAGAGAGAAAAAAAGGTCTGTCAAGCATTGCAAAAAGAGAGACAGTCCATGGATGCAATACCTGAAATCAGAAGGTAAAAAGTCAGAAACAAGGGGAGTAAATTCCGTCAAAATTACGTCACACTAAATATACACACCTATTGGAAACAGGGGAAGATCATTCAGTCGTTAACACTAAAATTGATGACGTCACACGCAAAAAGCAAAAAAATCACATGATGAAGTAATGAAGATATGGGGCCGTAGGTTAAGGGGGTCGCTAAGGCGCCATCTTGGATCCAAGATGGCGGATTTCCTTAGCAATCCCCCCCCCCCCCCATATCGTCATCTTTTCATCATCATTTACATGTGTTTCCTCGTCAGGATACACGTGTATACAACAGGTTCACATGTGTTTACTAGAAAGGATACACGTGCAGACTGCAACTTTACATGTGTATACTAGTCAAGATACACGTGTAGACTACATCTTTACATGTGTTTCTTCGTCAGGATACACGTGTAGACTACAGCTTTACAGGTGTTTTCTAGTAAGGATACACGTGTAGACGACAGCTTTACAGGTGTTTATAATTAAAGATACACGTGCAGACTGCAGTTATACAGGTGTTTAGTAGTAAGGATACACGTGTAG